TTAATTGATTGTCAATCAGTTTATGAAAAATTTAATGTAAAAAACTTTTTATAAATACCCAAAAAAGATAAAAAACAAGTAAGAGTGCTATATTCGGCTGTGCCGAATCTTATATACCCTTCACCATAGTGTATTTAAAAAATATAAATTTTATAAAATTTAAATTTATGTACCTATTTAATTTTCCCGATTATATCATTATTATAGCAATAGCAAAACAAAATGAACAACAACAACGCTAAACGAAATAAACACTCAAAAAACAAAATACACAAGGCAGTAAAACCAACAAACGAAACTGTACACCAACAAACAAAAACAATATACACAAGGCAATGAAACACACAGCCATCCAAACATACAAAACTGAATACACCAAGAAACAAAAACAATATACACATGCCAATGAACACACAGCCATCCAAACATGTGAAACGAAATACTCAATGAATAAGCAGTGTTGTTGTTGTTGCTTATTAATCAAAGCATGAAAAAATTGTATTTTTTAATGAAATTTTCAGAGGTTGTCTCGGATTTTTGCTTATATCTCCGTCATTTATGGACCGATTTTGCTGATTTTAAATAGCGATCTTCTCGAAAGCATGTCTAACAGAATTATTGAAGATTCGGATCTCGCCGATATCTGGGGTCCTCTAAAAACTGATTTCAACAGACAGACAGACAGACAGACGGACATGGCTTAATCGACTCCGCTATCTATAAGGATCCAGAATATATATACTTTATAGGGTCGGAAAATTATATTATAGAAATTACAAACGGAATGACAAACTTATATATACCCTTCTCACGAAGGTGAAGGGTATAAAAAGGAATATACCTGGTATTTACCCTCAATTTACCCATACATTGGGTAAATACCGGGTAGAATCCCATCTATAGAAATATTACATTTAAATACATAAATGTGGAAATATCTTCTCGAAAGCAATTTCTTAATTCAAACAGTGCTGTTAGACATTCGGACCGTCGCACAGTGTCAGATTTTGCAATTTTAGGGGGACTAAACTCTGAATTTTAAAATTATTAAACATAATGCTATGAAAACGTCAATAGGCTATATAACTTTTTTATCTAGGATCAGAAAGTCGCAAAAAGGGGGAAAACAGGTAAAATTAGTACTTTCTTATATAATGTTAATTTTTAATTCTAACGTGGAAATATTTGTGTTTTAACTCTCAAAACTTTTAAATATATGTATTAGTAAAGTACTTTAGCGACTGCCAACCTTTCAGGGTGTTAAAACGGGCAAAATAGGGCATTCTATATTCATTTGTAAAAAAGATATTTATGGAGTCAAAATTTTAAATATGAGTGAAAAATTACTTAAAATTATATCAATTAAATATTAATTGATATAATTTTAAAACACGGGTAAAAACGGGAAAATATTTGTATTTTTGGTACTTTTTGCAACTTTTGTGCTTGTTCCTATTACGCCAATACATGTTACAACACATCAATTTTAAAAACTTGACAGATCTACACTAGGAAGCATCAATGGCTATATATTTTATTCGTAACATGGCCCAGATAGAGACAAAAGGGGAAAAACGGGTAAAAATTGGTACTTTTTTCTCATAAACAATAAATATATTTTTTCTAAAGTAAAAATTGTCGCTTTTGCTAATATTTTAGTGGGGTTTTAAGTAAATTTGTTTTAATTTTTACTGATGTTATCTCGTAAAATAAAATCCAAGACTTTATGTAAGTTTTAAATGGCACAGCTCAACGTCAAACATCAAAAATGTACTAATGCAACTTTTGCGAGTTCATATTGAACTTTTGAAAAAATGTGTATGGGGTATGCAAAAAGATTCAAAAAATATTTTATAATCCCAATAGATTATATATCATTTAATCATATGGGTACAATAGAACCCCAGAATCAAGTGGTATTCTATGTTTTTGAGTCCATGAAAAAATGTCTCACTTTTTAAATACGCTTACAATTAACGGTTTGTTTACTATTTGGACAATTGTCTCTCATATTGAAATTCAAACAAATGCAAAAAATTATCAAAAATTTTTTGAGTTTTGTCCCCCTAAATTTGCAAAATCTGACACTGTGCGTCGTTATAATTTCAATCATTCAAATTCTTTATTTTTAGTATCTTCAAATTCTTATTCATTTTGTTAATTCACAAAAAAAAAAAATCAAATTCTAATTTTTATTTAAAATTTTAATAGGAACTGAATGTGATTTCATTCCGAATAAATTTTAGTTTTTATTTTACTACTAGCTATACCCAGTGTGCTTTGCTACCCTAAAAGGAATATGTATAAATAAATACCAGATTTATTATATGTTACATATGAAAGATGTCAACCAAATTATTGCAAGTTCGCCAGTTTCTATCTATCGCCAATTTCTATCTATCTATAAAAAATTTGAATAATATAAGAGTTTCCAAGATGCACGAATTTTTGTATTTAATTCATATATGTTGTGCCAAGCCACCCATTGAAAGTCCGCCCGTTATGCTCTAAATGTTCACATGAATTTCAAAGTTCTCCATGTAAAATTTGAAGATTCTAGCTCTAATAGTTTCTCAGATATACGAATTTTTCTATTTAATTCATATAGAATTTTTCTATTTAATTCAGATAGAATTCCTATCTTTTTCATCCCAAATGTTCAGACGAATATTTAAGTTCTTCGTGCGAAATTTGAAGAATTTAGTTCCATTAGTTTTCCAGATAAACGAATTTTTGTCTTTAATTAATATAGGAGGTGCCGCTCCCCTCATGGGTAGTCCGCCAATTTATTACCCAAAATGTTTAGTTGGAAGTTAAAGTTTTTCGTGCAAAATTTGAAGATTCTAACTGTAATAGTTTCCAAGATAAACGTATTTTTGTATTTAATTTATATGGGAGGTGCCACGATCCCTAATGATAGTCCGCCTACTTTTTGTCCTAAAAATTATATTGACACTAAAGTTCCTCCGACAAAATTTGAGGACTCTAACCTTCAAACAGCATTCTACGCGTCAAGGCATTCTACGCTTTTGTGCTTGTAACTTGTAGCACACAACAACATTGATTCTACTTTTTTGACAGCCGCGTAGAATGCGAAGAAGCGTAGAACGCGTGGTGTGGACCTCCAGCTTAAGCGTATTTTTGTAGATCTTCTCAAGAAATAGTTATATTTTAAAATTACAGCTCATTCTCAAACGATGGGTTTCAATGTACTAAATACGACATAAATAAAAATCACTCTTTTTTAAAGGTCCAATATGATGAAAAATTATTTTTTGCAATCTTTTCGAATTGGGTGTCAAAAATTCCGTAATTTATACTGAGGTCAGGATTTTCAATCGCTGGTAGGGAACTGAGGACCATTCCAAAAAAATATTTTTTTATTTTTCTCGTGTTCAGTATATTAATACGCATCGACTGAGTGGTATTCCTACATGAAACTCTTAAAAAGTCCGTTCCTCGGGACACTCTACTGTGCACTATAAGGCAAAAATAAATACCTGGGGAGTGATACTATTTTTCTGAATATTTTAAGAAAAATATCAATAACGTCGACAATTGCTAACGGATTTTTAAAAATAAAGTGGCGTTTTACTCATTAACAGGCGTAGTTTTCTAATGTTGTGATAAATAGTACGGTTACCATATAAAATACTTAGTAAAAACATCTCCAAACTTGGGAAACGGCGCATAACTAAAACCAAAAACCTAATGAAATGCTTAAAGGTCCATATCCCAAGATTTTGGAGGTGTTTGGGAAATTTCAAAACCAGATTCTTGTTCTACTCGGATCTACTTTTCTGAAAAATTGTATCACTTCCCAGGTGTTTCGATTTTTGTTTATTTTGTCTCACTGTGATATAGAAGTGTTGCAGTTAACAAATATGTAACTAAAACAAGTAAGAGTGCTACATTCGGCTGTGCCAAATCTTATATACCCTTCACCATAGTGTTAAATTTAAGAATTTTTTCTTTAATTTTTCCAAAAAAAATCGCATTTCGTTCATAAATGCTTTCCCATCTCTGTGTCAAAGAAATAAATTCAAAACAACAAACAGAAATACTAAACGTTGTTGTTGTCTCCAGCGGTTTACTGTTTATTATAAATAAGCAAACACAACAGACACACAAACAAGCACAATCTGAGCGTTGTTGTTTTCATGCGTTTGTATGAAAAAAATATACATTTTTTGACGAAATTTTCAAAGGTTGTCTCAGATTTTTGTTCATAACTCCGTTATTTATGAACCGATTTTGCTGACTTTAAATAGAAAACTTCTCGAAAGCATGTCAGATAGAATTATTGAAGACTGATCCCAAATAAATCTAAGGTCGTCAGAAAATTTATTCCAACAGACATATGGACAGACGGACATGGCCTAATCGAATAAGCTATCTATGGGATCCAGAATATATATACTTTATATGGTCGGAAAATTACATTGTAGAAATTACAAACGGAATGACAAACTTATATATACCCTTCTCACGAAAGTGAAGGGTATAAAAATATATTTAGTAATATTTAAAAATTTTGCGATTTGAAAATATGTCCAACAATAACTTTCATTACCAGGTGAGGGGTTAAAATGCAAAAATCTACTAACAGAATATAATTTTAAGTCATTATTTTAACATGGTTATGTCATTGGAGGCAAGTACTTACCACAATCACTTGAAAGTAATTAGAAAAATCAGTCAATGTAAAACATATACAGCTTCTATATCTTCAAGCAGAAGTTGACTAATGAATTAGAAAGTATTTATATGATGCATTATAAATAAGATGTTATTAAAATACGTCTATAGACGTATATGTAATCAGAAGGATATGTAGTAATCGTTGAAAAGTACGTTAATAGGTAAGTGTTTACAATTGCAAGCCATTACCAAGTTTTTGCTGGGATACTTTTTTTGTATATATATTTTTATGCATAAGGGTTTGTTTGGTTTTTCGAGAAATAAAAACAAATAAATTAAAAAAATATTATTGCACTTACCCTTCACTCCTATCTTGATATTTTTTCCGATTATCTCTAACATTTTCACGGTGTTTATCTGAAATGCAAATTTTGATAACTTTTAACACATTGTGGAAACCAAAAGGGATTGAAAAATAATATATTTATTAATTCACATTTATTAATCTCACCTATCTTGTTAAATTTAAATTAAAAAAACTTGAAAATTATTATAATTTTTTCTATAAATTCTAGTTTTTATATTTTATAATATGATTTCGTAACTACTTTTTTCGTAATATTTTTCTTTTAATTCTTTATTCAAATAATCGAGCCCTAGGGTCATATACGATACAAAAATTTACAATTATATAATGAATAAATAAAATAATGGAAAATTAGGTAAATAAAACCATACAAAGCCTTATTGGGATCGAATATAACAGATAAACATAGTAATTGTTAACATAGTAATGTTTGAAGGCGTTTTAGTAGAAATTAAACTAAAATTCCAAAGTCTACATGATCTTACCAAAAAGGAGCAACAATAATGTAGGATTCCTAGTAGATCTTGAAAAATGGAAAATATGTAATAAATAGAGTGGTGACCGTGTAACAATAGTTTTATAAAACATTACTAAAATTTCAATTTCTACGAATGAACGAAAAGAGTTGAGAAAATTTAGCAAATAATCTCACACATGATCAGTAATTCTGAGATTGTAATTATAACTAAATATACGATTGAAAATTAAATTGCATTATAGATGTACCACTGTAATTATCCAGTCAGTAGCGAATATGTGGCATGTGTAAATCATGTGCTATTTTTCACACTAATAGTTAGGTAACAATTTACGGCTGCACAGTGGGGCAGAATGGAATTTTTTTGGAAATAAATCTGGCATTTCTAAACGGCTGATCCGATCGGGATAAAATTTGGCGTGAGCGTAGCCAAGGAGTATTCGAGTTTAAGTTTTGAAGATGAACCCTGCAGATGCCCCAGGGACGGCGCTGTGGCGGCTCAAAGTAGGGTACCTACGACATGTAAAATTTTTAAACTCGTGCCATTTTTTTGTTTTTCACCCAAATACAAAGATTTTTATATTTTGTGAAAGCGCTCGACGAGATCTTGAAAAAACATGCTTGGACATACTACTTATCTCTTATAATATCCGAGTTATAGGCATTTAAAAATTTAGTGATACAAAATTTACCATACCTTGGTCCGCCTTTTTTTGAATACCGGGCGTAATTTTGGACCAAATGGACTCAATTTTTCTTGTTAGTTAGACAACAAAATTTCCAATAATATACAAAAAATTTCAGATCAATATTGTTTACAGATCCAAAAATATACGTTTTTTAATTTAAAAATTCAAAAAATTTTAGATTTTTGGCGTTTTTTTGCCAAAAATGTGTCTTAACTCTTTTATTAATAAAATAAAATTTTTATTAAGAACATATAACAATTTTATAGTTTTCTAAAAGGTATCTTTACGCAGAACGCTTTGGCGTAAAAAACTTGTCCTATTTTTTGAAAATGTTGCCACTGCGTCCTTCCGAATATGACCTATTTTTTATCAAAACTTCAACTTTGGGCGACATGTTCTAAAATCCCAAAGCTGGGATCAGAAAACTGAAAGCAGTTTTGGAAACCTCAATATGTTTTCTATTTACTCCAGAAGTATTTTCCCAGCCCTGAAAGAAATGTGGATCCTATGGGCAAAAAAGTAAAAAATCCCATTTTTGGGATTTTCATTCCTATTTTTGGGAATTGCGGGATGCCCTTTGACATTTTCAATTTTTTTTTTGCATACTCTTATTTGAAATGACAAATTTAACAAGCGTTGAAAATTTCATTGAGTTTTGTTCATAAATAAAGATTTTGTCATATATTACATATTTGTTTAATTTCTAAAACTATGATTTATATCAAAATTTTAATAGGATCGCAGATAGCTACAACAATTTAGTCCATATTTATCCCTTAATATCATTTTTTAGTTAGATATGGAAATTCTCGACCCTTTACAAAAAATTTCAAGCCAATATCTCAATTACATTCAAAAATATGTTCATTTAAACCTGTGTCCTTTAATTTCATCTTTTTCATATTTTAGTATTAAGTATGACAGAACATACATTTGGTGTTGAATAAAATATTTGGACAATTTTTAAAAATTATTTAGTTAATTATTTTATTATAATATTGTATATAAAATAAAAAAATTATAATTTTATTATGAGCCACGCACAACAACACCTAAATCACCCCACACAAATTACCTTTCCCGCCCACCGAAATATAAAACACAATTTAATACAATATCATCAGTTAGTATAATAGCTTTTTTTATTTGAACTGTTTATCTTAAACATAATACAATTAATTCTTACAACCTACTTATATAGTTAATTCCTAACACTACTTATTTTCTATAAAATAATCTGTCATATCGGTATACATATCCAGAAGGTAATATAAGTCCTTTAAATCTTCCTTGTTTTGAGATGATAGAGTTTCATAACAAATCCATCTTTTTCGCATAGTTGAAAGAACAGGATCAGAAGATAGAAGTAAACTATTAAAAATATCTTCATTCTGTGATTGCCTGGAGCATTTTCTTGAGCTGAATAGTTGAACATGCTTAAAATCTCGATTCCTCGCTTCCTGGGCTTCTTCTGTTAACTCTCCAAGTGGAAGAATATTCGATTCAATTATTATTTGACCATGACACAATACTTTGTGTACTGTTGGTGTTAGTTCCCTCCATGGATACAGAGATACAAGTAATTTAGAAATTTCAGACGTGTATTCCCCAAATCGATTTTCATTAATTTTATGTTTACTATTCAGTGCCATTAAAATAGTTTTAACTCTTCGAAGCAACTCCTTGTCGATTCCAGTTATTTTTGAAGTAATTTCAAAATCACGAAAAAACCTTCTCGACGTATTACCGTCATTTGTACTACCGCAACTTGAAAGTGGTTTGTCGATGTTTAATCGCATCTGAACTTTACATTCTTCTTGGATTCTGCTTTTTTCCGCAGCTCTCAGTTCTTTCAATTCTTCATTATTTTTTGTTGATTTAGTAGGATAGTTTGTTTTTTTTTCCTGGATCGCCTTGTATGATGGTAATATATTGTGTCCTTTTTCATGCAGAGCTTTCCTTAATATTTGGTACTTATTTCGACTGAGACCCAGTTCCAACATAAGCGCTATTGCTTCCTCTTCAGTAAAATTTGATTATGATGTTGGAGTTGGTATACTTTCCACAATTCGCTTAAGTCGTTTTGGTGATGCATTAGGAAGAATAGTTGCAATATGTACGACATCCATATGTTGGTTTTCCTTTTTCAGCATTTCGTTAAATGTATCAGCAATTTCCTCATTTGAGATTGAAAAAAGTTTTTGTGTGACCCTCTTTTTTTTTTACCTTGAACATAAGTCTTCGTATGACTTGCAAGGCGCTCCTGTTGATGTGTTGTAAGTTGAGATTTCCGTAGTAGTTTCCATCCAACTACAAAATTTTAATCGAAATTTCTTTTGATTTCCATCCACAGACTTACTTTTTACATCAAAAAGTTTTAAAAAGTTTTCAATTTTTGATATGCCTGTTTTGTCTACTTTTCTACTATATGTAGTTTTTATATAATTTGAAATGTCTTCAATTCTTTCTGGCCCTTTTGAAGATATACTCCATAAAACGGAACACAACTCTTCGTACTTTAATGTAATCTTCATTGTAGATTTATTAAATATGGTACTTAAAATCTGAGAAGTTTACTTATATACCAATTCTTGTCATTTCCGATACAGGTATTCCAAAGTAAAAAATTACGAATTGTCTACCTATTAACATTTAGGACTATATTACTATAACCTGTAATTCAGTCATTGATATTTCTTATTAGTGAATGAATCGAAATTATCATTACCTGTATATTTTTACCTACATGATCATAAACGAAACAGAACGAAATGATCTGTCGAACAAATTTAGGTAAAAATAGTTATACATTTTTGAAAATTTAAGCATAATTTTTTGCTTATCCTTTCAATTATAAGGATAAGCAAACAAATAGAAAATAGGTAAATATAAGATTTAAATATGTGCTGTCATACTTAATACTAAAATATGAAAAAGATGAAATTAAAGGACACAGGTTTAAATGAACATATTTTTGAATGTAATTGAGATATTGGCTTGAAATTTTTTGTAAAGGGTCGAGAATTTCCATATCTAACTAAAAAATGATATTAAGGAAATATGGACTAAATTGTTGTAGCTATCTGCGATCCTATTAAAATTTTGATATAAATCATAGTTTTAGAAATTAAACAAATATGTAATATATGACAAAATCTTTATTTATGAACAAAACTCAATGAAATTTTCAACGCTTGTTAAATTTGTCATTTCAAATAAGAATATGCAAAAAAAAAAAATTGAAAAGGTCAAAGGGCATCCCGCAATTCCCAAAAATAGGAATAAAAATCCCAAAAATGGGATTTTGTACTTTTTTGCCTATAGGGTCCACATTTCTTTCAGGGCTGGGAAAATACTTTTGGAGTAAATAGAAAACATATTGAGGTTTCCAAAACTGCTTTCAGTTTTCTGATCCCAGCTTTGGGATTTTAGAACATGTCGCCCAAAGTTGAAGTTTTGATAAAAAATAGGTCATATTCGGAAGGACGCAGTGGCAACATTTTCAAAAAATAGGACAAGTTTTTTACGCCAAAGCGTTCTGCGTAAAGATACCTTTTAGAAAACTATAAAATTGTTATATGTTCTTAATAAAAATTTTATTTTATTAATAAAAGAGTTAAGACACATTTTTGGCAAAAAAACGCCAAAAATCTAAAATTTTTTGAATTTTTAAATTAAAAAACGTATATTTTTGGACCTGTAAACGATATTGATCTGAATTTTTTTGTATATTATTGGAAATTTTGTTGTGTAACTAACAAGATTGTTACATTGAGTCCATTTGGTCCAAAATTACGCCCGGTATTCAAAAAAAGGCGGACCAAGGTATGGTAAATTTTGTATCACTAAATTTTTAAATGCCTATAACTCGGATATTATAAGA